TCTTATTAACCCAGAAAAAGAGCTGATTAAATCAAGCGATCGTTGAATCTTTTCCCTTATAAATAAGTTTACCTAGTGAAAATTAAGTTTTGTGTGTTTGCTTTTTTGTTTTTGTAATTTAAAAGATGTATTTAATTATCATGTTCGCTTGTGAATTTAAAAGTTTTCCTTTCTATTATGGCTTGTCGGCTTCCCCCCCTCCTCTCTAATGAGGCTCCAGTCAGCTATTGATAACTTTATTAGAGCTTAGGTCAATATTTCTTATACAACAGTTCTAATACATTTTATACAGATTTATAGATCCTTCTCACACTGGGATCAGTTGTAATTGATCGGGGCTCCGTCCCGTGGATGTTTGCTTCTCCCCAATTTGTTCTTTTTAAAATACTGTCGTTCTCCTTTAAGAAGCCACCGAAGCTGACCGTCTCGGTTTCCCTTCTGGGCAGAGCCCAAAGGTGGTCACCTGATTTGCAGGAAAAGGCGAGAAACTAACTTTCTCTTTCCTTATCCCGGCGGAGGAGGCAGCGATGGCGGCCGCAGCGTCCATGGAGGATTTGCTGGAAGAAGCCACCTGCTCCATCTGCCTGGAGTATTTCCAGGACCCCGTGCTCATCCCGGAGTGCGGCCACAACTTCTGCCGGGGCTGCCTGACCCGCAGTTGGGGGACGTCGGAATCGGAGGCTTCCTGTCCCCAGTGCAGACAGACCTTCGAGCCCCGCAACGTCCTGCCCAACAGGCAGCTGGTGCGGCTGGTGGAAATAGCCAGGCGATGCGGAGGCCCTTGGGGCGAGGACGGAGGGAGCCTCTGCCAGAAGCACCGGGAGCCCCTCAAGCTCTTTTGTAAGCACCACGAGACCCTCATCTGCGTGGTCTGCAACCTATCCCAAGAGCACAGGGGCCACTCGGTGATCCCGGCGGAGGAGGCTTTCCAGGAGTACCAGGTAGGAATCCGCCAGGGGGAATCCCTGCGGAGGGCCATCCAGATCCTGGGCCTTCCAGGCAATCCTTGAACTACTTTACTTGTTTCCTCTGTTGTCCGCAAACCGGGTTTAGCCTGGCGCAGATGCCAATCAGAACCAGGCAGGAGTTCGAGGAACTTTTATTGAAGTATTTCAGCAAAAGGCTCTAAGAAGCTAAAGGAGCCAAGACCCCCGAACCATATACAAATACAAATTTGATACAGTTAAGATGAAGGAAGTTGAGAGATTACGGCTTTTATTGATTTTTTTAATACAATTCAATAGTGCTTATTCAACAAACGTGTTGTCTGGGTTTATCATTCACTAATACAAATTAAATTCCTAATCGCTAGTTAGTTTCTCCGGCCATTGATAAAATAAGTCCCAAGTTTGAAAATATTCTTTTTCTTCTTTTTCTTTCAATCTCAAAGTAAGTCTGTCCATTTCTGCACAGTCTAATATTTTTTTAATTATTTCTTCCTCCAATGGTATTTCTTCATTTTTCCAATATTGTGCAAATATAAGTCTTGCTGCTGTTATCACATGCAAAATCAGATATATACTTCGTTTTTCAAGCTTTTCTGGCCAAGTATGTATTTTTGTCCAATATTTCTTTGCTTTAATACAGGGGTGTCACGTTCGGAGTTTGACATGTCTGCTTTAACACATGTCCACCATACATGATAATAACTACCTGGTTTTTGATTACATTTCCAACATTTATCTGACATATTTTTAAACATTTTTGCTAATCTTGCTGGTGGCAAGTGCCATCTATAAAACATTCTATATAAGTTTTTTTTATAAGAGGTTGACATTGTCAGTTTGTAATTTCTTTCCCACAGGCTTTGCCATTTCTCTAAATCTATATTATATCCAAAACTTTTTACCCATATTATCATT